ATGTATATATATATATTTATTGTGTTCTGGTAGCAACACACATGTTTAATTGGATGGGAAGACAACGGCATTTTTGTTTCACTACTTTTTTACTTATTTTTCGTTTAAAAGTATTTTGATTAAAATATTGTTCAGACACATAAGATAAGCAAAAAGAATTAGTTACATACAGAAGTCGATATGTCCTGCAACAAAACGCATCAAAAATCGATTTTGATAAAAATGTTTGCACTGTGGAAAATCGAGTTTTCAAAGCGGCATGAGCAGCCCCGACTATGATGTTTGCAAGTCAGCATCGTCTATTACATATAGCCACATGTGTTTCGACGTTAAAACGCTCGTTCACGTGAGAGGTTTCCCTCATACGTGAAATTTTCTATCAAACCGGTATTTCGAGTATTTATCGAGTTAACATTTTTCATCGACGGGCATTTTTGGATGGTAGGTTCATGCAGGGATATCTAACTATAGTCTCCTATTAACAAAGCTAAAATCACATATGATGACACCCGTTTCTAACGTCTTTGAAAAGAACAAAAAGCAGCTCTAATAGTTGTAGATGTCTTTAGAAAAGCCACATTGTGGCTTTTTCAGTCGTGTTTTTTGAAAAACTAAGTAATAATCAGTTGTATTATTATCAGGTGGTTCATCTTTTTTAACTGAATTTGGTTTTGATCCAACATCACCGGTCGATAATCAAGATAATATGTTTGTTCTTGAAAAAAGTGATCAATATTTTCAATCATGGACTGTATGGGGTATTGATTTTCTCGATGGGACTGGTAATGTTGAAGATGATATAGTACTAAAATTTAGTAGGCCTTATGCTCGAGCTATTGCTGGTAAACCAATATCTATGTTCTATGATCAAGATAATACAAAATGTTTCACATTAACGTACATATTAAAGGCATCAATACAGTGTCATACAGAAATATATTTGCCACCCATGGTATATGACTCAAATAAAGTGGTTACATTATCATCTCAATTACAGTGGATGCCAAATTCAGGTGATGCCAATGTAATTGATGTATATAATATAAGTACACTCCCAATTGGTGAATTTGCAACGATTAAAGTATGCCCATTGTCAGCGAATCAGTCCGTAACCGCTAATCATGGCGATAGTCATGTTTCATTCCTTTTTTCTGTTCATCTCATTTATTTATTCATCACTTATTCACTCTTGTACATATTCTGACTGCATGTACAAGTATATTAGTCAGCCGTTCTCTTTTTGTTTTTATTTATAGGTCTGTTTTAAAAGCTTTTTAAGTTTACTTTTCTTAGCTGTTGAGAAATTTTATTTTTTCAAACTTAGCGGCGAAGAAAAAACGTATTTCGCAATTTTTTTCCACCAAAACTCAATTAAAAATGTCATATGCAGAATCAGCATCAAAAACTGCATCGCCTGATATACTTTTCGAAAATTTTCGTTGGCTTCCAATATCTAGAGAAAATCTCAACAATTTTTCGACGAGAAATTTGAATAAAAATAATTTTTCTCAAAAAATTCTGAAACGCACACATCATTCGATGCAGTTTTAGCCATTTATAATTCTGTTCGATGGAATTGTTACTTTCTCATCTGAACGAATTATTATTGATAAGGAAAGACGGAATATATCGTTTTTGTTCTTATTTCCTCGCGAAACTTGTTGCTGAAACTCCATTTATACATCTTCTTTCTACATTACTTTTAATAATTAGCTCTTGGACGGTCAAAAGGAGCCCCGATTTTTCATTTTTCTTGTATTTATTGTTATTTCAGAATATAATAAAAATTTTACAAATACTCAACAAGGAGTTGGTCCAAAATCAGAAGGCAAATTCATCACACAAAAATTACTAAATGATGTAGGTGGTGAGGATAAACCAGGATAAATTATGGCTTTAATAGAAATTCGGTTTTCTGTTGTAACAATCGATCCGCGGAGTCGCGGGCATAAAAAAAGGAGAAAATCCGTCCTCTGAGAAAAACAACGTTAGTTTTTTCTCGTTCCATTTGGCAGCTTTGAAACAAACTTTTTCGGGTTTAGCATCAGAAACTGCATATGACAAACTATTTCTAAAGTTGAGTACATCTCTTTTAGTGTTTCTGAAAAATTCGTTCCTAGAAGGACTCAAAAACGGCACCCTTCGCTCAAAGAAGCATCAAGTCTTTTTTTGTTTAAGAGGTAATGTCTTGAATTTTATGCC